CTCCCCACCCTCTGATAGGAAGGGAAGTTCTTACCACGATATGCTGTTCCTTTGTGAGCGGCTCTGTCTGGAGGAGCACCGTGTACACTGCTAGGAGCTGTTGCTCTATGGGGTATATTCGGGTTTTGCCCCCTTCCAGAGCTGGGGCCCAAATGCTAGGGCACTCTCTCCTTCTCTTGTCTCTGCCACAGCACCTGACCCATACCTTCTGGAGTCATAGACACATGCCACTCAAATGGCAGCCCTGCTTGCAAGATGCCCAAAGCTTTAATCTGTTTCACTAGTATCTTTGTCTTCTCAAAGGTGGCTTGCTGCTCGGATGCCCTGTCCCAGGGGCAGCCCCATGGCCTAGGGGTTAAGTTCAGCACGGTCTGCTTCGGCAGCCTGGGTTCATGGGTTTGGATCCCGGGCGCAGACCTACACCACTCGTCAGCCATGCTGTGGCGGTGACTGACACACAAAATAGAGGAAGACTGGCACAGATGTTAGGTCAGGGCTAATCTTTCTCAAGCCTTGCGAATCTTCCTCACCAAAAAAACCCCAAAAACACTGTGATCCCCTGTCTTACATGTGCCCTCTCTTTACCAGGTGGTATAAGGGACAAGAGGTGCTGTGCCAGGTGGGAAATAAAAGTCCTCCAAACTTGTCACCTCCCTACAAAGGCTTGCCCCTCTTTCATGTTCTTAGGGGCTTGCACCTTATCAATCACAGCTTCTGGGACAACACACATCTTACCAGACCAAACAACTCCCAAAAACTTTACGGAGGTGCCTGGGCCTTGAATTTTCTCTGGGTGCACCTCCCATCCTCTCCCTCACAGATGTTCCAGCAAAGTCTGCAGAGTGTCCTGCAGCAGAGGCAAGTCTTCACTTGTCACCATGACATCATCAATGTAATGGGCCCATTTTACTGAGGTGGGGAAGGAGAACAGGGACAGAGGAACATGTCCCAGGCTACCAGCCCATGACATCTGGTGGGGCTGTGTAGGGAACCCTGGGCAAGCACCTGGAAGGTCCATTGTTGCTATTTCCATGTGAAGGCAAATTGATCTTGGGACTCAGCAGCCAGGGGTATACTGAAAAAAGCATTTGCTAAGTCCAGCAAGGCATGGTACACTCCTAGGACCACGGCCAAGGTATTTAAGATGGTGGCAATGTTGGGCACAGCCGTAAGGATGGGGCACACTACCTTGTTCAATTCTCAGTAGTTCACCATCATCTGCCATGAGCCATCTGGCTATTTTACCTGTTATACGGAGCTGTTGAAAGCACTATAGGCAGAGCGTACAGTTCGCACTCGGTGCAGTTCTTGGATAGCTTCTCCTATCTCCTTGTGTCCCCTAGGCAATTTACACTGTTTGATAGTTACCACTTTTCATGGGGGCCGCGGGCCTTCCAGTTCCCAGTGGCGTTTCCCGTAAGCGCTGGTTCGATTACTCTAACTAGGAGCCAGAATTCACCGATAGAGGTTTGCAGAGTTTTTGTTTTGTTTTGCTTTGTTTTTGTGAGGAAGATTGGCCCTGAGCTAACATCTAGTGCCAATCCTCTGCTTTTTGCCAAGGAAGATTGGCCCTGGGCTAACATCCGTGCCCATCTTCCTCCACTTTATATGGGACACCGCCACAGCATGGCTTGCCAAGCGGTGTGACGGTGCACGCCCGGGGTCCTAACCGGTGAACCCCAGGCCGCCGCAGCAGAGCGCGCGCACTTAACCGCTTGCGCCACTGGGCCGACCCCGGAGCGTGCGAACTTAACCGATACGCCACTGGGGTGGCCCCCAAGGTTTGCAGAGTTTGACCCTGTAGGATAGCAATGCCCAATATGTTCCCTGGTATAGGAGACAGAAAAACCTTATATGCTCGGGGAGAGAATGACCAATTTGCAAGGTCAAAAGGACCTTCCTGACCATAACCATTTGCCCCCTATATCCATTGATGGCGCTGGGGGGGCCAGGAAACTTCTGAGGGTTACCATGTATTAGAGAACATTCAGCTCCAGTATCCACCAGAGCCATCACCTTTTGTTTATTTCTAGAGGACCATGAATAGTCAGTTCAACATGGGGCCTCCGATCACCCCCAACAGCCCTCACCTGAAGGTGATCTTGGCCTATACCCTATACCCGGGGCATGGGAGGCACTTGCCCCAAATAGGACTGTATCCCTCAGGCCTCTGCTGGAACAGGCAGGGCATCAGGGATGGCAGGGGCAGATGGGGCAGGTCTGAACTGCTGTTCAGGTTTTGAGGCTTTCCACAGGCCGACCAACACAGTGTCAGTTTGTCAGTCTATCTGCTCAGGTGCAGTCCCAGCATCAATGAGGTCAAACCAGACTTGCCTCCGGGTTACTTTCACCCGACCCTTTACAGTGATTGGGACAGCTCACTGATTTTCAGAGCTCCCTCACTATCTCGGGTCTTTCCCACAGCCCATACCTGTTTCTGGGATTTGTCAGTTTCTACCAGATCAGCAATGGATTGCTCAACATCATAAACTTCCTGTCTCACAGCTGCGCTCGCACGGAGATCAGCATCCCATACCAGGTGGGGGGGTGGGGTGGGGGTGCACTGGAGTATCTGGGCTTTCATTCCTACAGTGAATGTGGCCCGACCAAAGACAAGGGCGTAGATGGCCTGTCTCGTTCCCAGCTCTCTAGGAACTTTGTTGTACCTCCTCTATAGGTTTCCAGGGTCCCACATGCGCAGGGAGGTCCCCCTCATTGGGCCACGCCTCCCTGCAGACTAGAATAATCCAACCTGAAAGGGACTGAGTCCCTCAAACCACTGAGCACCACGCAGGCACTGCCAGAGGGCCAGGGGTGTGGTGATGTTGCTCATTTTCTCTGCCTCCTGCCTGCCGGGTGAGAGACATGCCATCGCCTCTCATATCCCATAGCCGCACTAACCACGCCTGGACACTTGCCTGGCCTTTTGCTGGATCTCGGCAGCTACATCAACAGCTCAGCCGGAGTACACTCTCTCATCAGGAGTGTTTCCTCAGTTAGGGGCTGCCTTTGTATGAGGGGTCCAACGGCATGGGACCTTTCGTCCTTTTCCTCATCGATCACCACATCCTCCTCTTCACCATCATCACTTTCTCAGGGTTCTGCCTCTTAGCATCCCAACCAGGCTTTGTCACAGCACTCGGACCCTACTCTGTGGCCTCTCGTCCCCTCCTAGCTTTGCTAAACGGCACGCTAAGGTCTCCAACTGATTATCCTGCTCTCCCACCCTGTCTGCCAGCCCCGGAGCTAGCCGAGGAGTGGACAATCACATGTCCTCTGTAACCTCAGCTCTTCTTCCAACTCTCTAACTCAAACTTCAGCCTCTAGTTGGGCCTCAGCAGCCAGCCAAACTGCCTACAGCAGAGGCCAGCCCACCGTGGCAGCCATTCGTGTCCCTTCTTTGCCGCAGTGTGCTACGCACAGTTCCTCAAACAAGCGCATTAGACCAGCCGGCATTTTGGGGGCAGCCCCATACTCAGTGGGGGCCCACAAGCATCTAACATACAGGCCACCTGTCCCCACAGAGGTGAAAGGCCAACTCGGGATTTCCCCCAACGATGCCGCTTTCCTGACGCCCATTTCTTTGGTCTCCTGACTGGCTGGACAATTGTTGCTTTGCAACCTCCTCCAGGAGCTTCAATGGCTGTAATCTGAAACCAGCCTGTAAGCAGACAGCAGGGAGAGACCTAAGAAAGAGGCAGACCACTCCAGATTGGAGGGTAGTAAATTCAAGGGAATTTACTTGAAGCTCATCTTGGGCAGCTGCAAGATGTGTAGATCTTGGCACCCACCCGCCAAATCATAAAAGTGCATATAGAGGCCTTAACTGGGTTCAGTCTAGCACACAGTCCAGACAGGTTCATCACCACATTACTATCTCAAGGCTGTACCCTTGGGCTGCTTCTGGGAGTGGAGAAGGCAAACGGAATGCACAGTCCAACGAGAGGGGAGGGGTGGGGAGACTCCAATTGCCCGAGTCCAGCTCAAGGGTCAACCTGCGGTCACATCTTTTTTTTTTTTTTTGGTGAGGAAGATTGGCCCCAAGCTAACATCTGTTGCCAATCTTTCTCTTTTTGCTTGAGGAAGAGTGTCCCTGAGCTAACATCTGTGCCAATCTTCCTCTATTTTGTATGTGGGACACCACCACAGCATGGCTTGATGAGCAGGGTGTAGATCCTGCACCCAGGATCCCAACACGCGAGACCCGGGCCACAGCCACCCAAGTGGAGCGCGTGAACTTCACTACACCACCAGGCTGGCCCCAGGTCACTTCTTCTTGATGACCTCCCCCAACAGGTACTTCATGGTCATTCTTGTGTGGGGTGGGAAAGTGCACCGTGACTGCCCGGGGAAGGGTGCCAAGGATGCTACCCGGGAATTGGCACCAGGAGCTCCAGCCCTCCCGGGAACAATGGCCTGGGCCCCTGGAACCCCCAGGGCCATAGCATTGGGGTGGGAGGGGATGAGAATCTTGCATCACCCAATGGCGAAGGGTGCCGCGGCGCTACGCAAATAACATGCCTTTTATTGGGCGTCAGCTGGCTCTGAGCCAGGAGTCCCGCCCCCGCCCTCTCTCGAAGAAATGGCCAGACTTTTTTGCAAACGCCTTGAGGGGTGAAATGGGCAGCTGGCTCTTGAAACTGACTTCGGAGACGCAACTCAAGCTCCCGGTGGAATTCTCTAAAAGAAGCGGGACATAGAAAAGGCAAGGTGCATATGCCAGGCGCTGTCTCGGTGATCTCTAAGCGCAGTTTCCCCGTGTTAAGTCCTGCACGTGCTTGACTCCAGTCAGCCACCGTAGGCCCTGCAAGCTGCTGTACACTTTCCTTCTGTCCTTCGGCCCATAGCGTGGCGCTTAGCTCACCAACTTGCCTGCTTTGCGCACTCACCCCCACCTTCCATTCCAGCTCCCCCGCAGCAGCCTCCGCTGGCTGCGGCTGCGCATGCGTACGGACGCCCCCACCGGCCCGGCGTGGGAGGAGGGGATGGAAATGAGGCTGGGCCGAGCAGCCCGCGCGCGCTCCCGCCCCTCCCCTCCCGCCGCTGGGCGCGCGCCGGGCGGTGTAGCTCCGCCGCGTCCGAGGGCAGCGCCGCCGCTGCAGCGGCCGCCGCGGGAGGGGCCCGGAGCCCCGCCCCCGGGGAGGGGCTGTCAGCAGGTGAGGGGGGCAGGGCTCCGGCCCCGGACTTCTGGGTCTTCGGGAAGTGGATTGGGGGCTGCACGGCAGGGTCTCCTGAACAGGGATCGATTGGGGTCCTGATGCATAGGTTCTGGAGGGCTGCACTGGTGCCTGGGCCTTGGGAGGGTGCATTGGTGCCCGAATGCCACCATCCCGAGGGGTGCATTGAGGCCCGGACGCTTGGGACCCCAAGGGAGAAGTCCCGTAGGGGTCTCTGAATGGCAACACACGCCACGTTCCTTCTGTGTCTTCCTCCAGGTCTCCCGTCTAGCCTCCACGGCCCCAACTCCATGCCGGGGATGAAATTTAGCGAAAAGGAAGCAGTTGACGCGGCGTCAATGGACTGAGACTAAGCCAAGAGCCGGGTAAAGCTACCTTTTCGCTGTGAAGTCCCGCCCACTGAGCTCGTAGCCCCTCCTCGGGGGCAGAGTTGCACAAGACCGGCCCACTCCCCTGGAAGGCCCCGCCCCTGAGTCTGAGTTGCTAAGCAACCGACTTTGGGTCCCGTTTGTATGTCTCCGCCCACTCCCGTCTCAGGTTCTGCGGCCGCGTGGTTCTGGTGGGGAGGTTCCGCCCACTCTGGGCATAGGTCCCGCCCGCTCCGCGCTCCGGACGGGCGCCGAATTTAAGCTGCAGAGGCCCCGCCAAAATCCGCTAGGTGGATCCAACCCTGGGTCTAAGTTGCGACGGGGCTGCTGCTGTCAATTTGTATAAACCCCGCCTATTGTGCTCTTAGGCTCCGCCTTCCCGCAAAGCCTGCCCTGGTCTTGGGATCCAAGGCTTAAAAAGACCCCGCTCCTAAACAGAGGGACCCCTGATTTCAGGCCCTCCAGCCCTATCCCCATCAGCCTGATAGTCACCGGCGGCGTCGCCCCCTCCCCGTCCTAGGCCCTCCCTCTAGGTTCTGGGCCAACAAGATGCAGGAGCGAGAGGCGGAGTCCGCGGCCGGGGGCGCCGATCCGAGTCCCGCTGGCAAGGAACCGGTGACCAAGGCAGGAGGTGAGAGCGGCGCCACCTGCGCGTAGGGGGCATTCTCCAGGAATTGGGGCTAAGAGAGTCACATTTTGAGGGAACCTCTGGGTGAAAGTTTGAGGGCGCACGGTGATGACCATTTGGGGTGCCCAAAACGCGGCGTTCTGGGAAATCCACCTGGTTATCTTTGGGGAGCCTCAGTGATCATTTCTAGGGCTCAGGAAATTACAGGAGGGACAGGGGGGATGACATGCGGGATTTTAGGGTGATCACTTGGGAAGATACTAGAAACGGACACCTTAGTAGCTTTGGGGAAGCCTCAGCTTTGGGGTTCCAGGTAGGTAACCCTTCGGAGCCCCTTAGGATGATGCGTGGCAGGGGGTGGGGAGTCGGAACATGCCATTTGGGGACTCTCAGTATGACCCCTGAGGTGTCCAGATACACTCGAACATCAAGCCTGGGGGTCGAGGGGGCTGACCTAGATTCAGGGCCTTGCCTGCTTCCTGGAGCCCACCAGCCCTCCTGTCCCCTAGCTCCCCACCAGGCCCCGCCGCAGAAGCCCAGCCAGCCGGTTCCAGGGCCCGCCGCGTCCCCGGGGGCGCCTTCCCGACCCCGCCGGCGGCCCCCGCCCCAGCGCCCGCACCGCTGCCCCGACTGTGACAAGGCCTTCTCGTACCCGTCCAAGCTGGCCACACACCGGTTGGCACACGGCGGCGCCCGCCCCCACCCATGCCCCGACTGCCCCAAGGCCTTCTCCTACCCCTCCAAGCTGGCCGCCCACCGCCTCACGCACAGCGGCGCCCGTCCGCACCCGTGCCCGCACTGCCCAAAGGCCTTCGGCCACCGCTCCAAGCTGGCGGCCCACCTCTGGACCCACGCGCCCGCCCGCCCCTACCCGTGCCCCGACTGCCCCAAGTCCTTCTGCTACCCCTCCAAGCTGGCGGCCCACCGCCACACGCACCACGCCACTGACGCCCGCCCCTACCCTTGCCCACACTGCCCCAAGGCTTTTTCATTCCCTTCCAAACTGGCCGCCCATCGCCTATGTCACGACCCCCCCACGGCGCCGGGCAGCCAGCCCACGGCCCGGCATCACTGCTCCAGCTGCGGCCAGGCCTTTGGCCAGAGACGCCTCCTGCTCCTTCATCAGCGCAGCCACCACCAGGCTGAGGGCCAGGGGGAGCGGGAGTGAGCCCTCCCTGGGCTCACTGGCCCCTCTGCCGCCAGCCCGGGTCAATAGAGGTGGCGTTTCTAAGCCAGGCTGTATGGACTTACCTCTCCCAGACAGCTGGCAGGGAGGCTGGCCCCTCATCCTGGGCTCAAACTTAGAAGGTGGAGGAACTCTTTGCCCGCCTGTTTTGGGGAAGGGAAAGCGTCACCCACAGAGAGTTGGCACTGTGCCCCAAACCATGGACCTGGAGGTGTGCTTTGAGAGCCCTGGCTCTGGTTTTCCCCTATTCATGTGGCAAAGGTAAAAGGTCAGCTGCATCGTGGGCTGGTGAGGAGGGTGGGGAACAGGCTCTCTCCACGTTGTTGTTGTGAGTTGAAATTAGTGGCTCCGCTTTGCCCATTTGACTGTATCGATAAAAAATTGAAAATGCACACATGCTCATGTCACCTATTCCACTTCCGGGAATTCATCCTGTAGATAAACTCAAGTGTGTGAAACAGGCACAAGAGTAGGGCTGCTCACTGCAGCGTGAGGGTTGGGGCCAACGATGAGAAACCACCCCGGTGCCCATTCACAGGGGACACAGCCACAGAATGGAGTATGTAGCTGTACGAAAAATGGCAGCTCTGCGTGACTGACGCAGCAAGACTCACAAGATATACTGGACGATAAAAGCAAGCACAAAGCCTGTACTACTGATAGTGTAAAAACACTTTAAAGCCCACGCTTTGGAGCCAGCCCTGTCACTCCTCTGGACTCAGAGGCCTGATCTGTGAAATGGGAGCGTTAGAAGGCTTCTGTAACAGCATAAACACCATCTCGGGCAAAGTCAGTTCCCCTCTTGGAGCCTGTTTCTCAAGTTATAAAATAAGGATGATCAAGCTAACCTTGGACTGCTGATCATTGTACAGATATGTATTAAGCACCTACTGTGTGCTGGGCCCTGCGCAGGGCATCAGGAACACAGCAGTCAACAAGACAGACCTGGTCTAGTGAAGGAAGTGGACACTAATCAAGTAGTGGCAAAAAAAGGGAAGGAAGCCAAGTCCATTTTGAAGAACAAGAAGGGGAGCTTGCCCCTCCGCCCACCGCCAGACAGCAAGAATTATTACAAAGCTATAGGAATGACGCCTGTGGTACTGGCTTGGGGACAGGCTGGTGGAAGAGAACTGAGAGCTCAGAAACAGACCTGTGCTTATAGGAGGTCCTGACATGTGACAGTCCCCACCTGTAGGTCATGGGTTGGCAAACTTTTTCTGTAAAGGGCCAAATCGTATTTATTTTTAGGTTTTGCAGGCCATACAGTGTCTGCTATAGCTACCCAACTCTGCCATTGTGGCACAAAAGCAGCCATACACACTGATACATAAATGAATGAGTGTGGTGGTGTTCCAATAAAACTTTATTTATAAAAATAGTAGGTGGGCTGGATTTTGCCTGTGGGCTGTAGTTTGCTGACCCCTGCTGTAGATGAGTGGGGAAAGGACATGCTAATCTGTGAACGTGCTCAGAGATATGGAAAAAATTAAATGGGACACTGTGGTAGGCAGAATAATGGTCCCCCAAAGATATCCACATCCTAATCCCCAGAACCTGTATGTTAGCTTACACATGGCAGAAAGGACTTCGCAGATGTGATTAAGGATCTTATCTTTTTTAAAATTATTTATTTATTTATTTATTTTCCCCCCCAAAGCCCCAGTAGATAGTTGTATGTCATAGTTGCACATCTTTCTAGTTCCTGTACGTGGGACGCGGCCTCAGCATGGCCGGAGAAGCGGTGTGTTGGTGCATGCCCAGGCTCCGAACCTGGGCTGCCAGTAGCGGAGCGCATGCACTTAACCGCTAAGCCACGGGGCTGGCCCAAGGATCTTATCTTGAGAGGAGATTATCCTAATTGTTAGAGTGGGCCCAGCGTAATCACAAGGGACTTTATATAGGAAAAAGGGAAGCAGAAGAGTCAGAGAAGGAGATGTGACAATGGAAGCAGAGACTGGAGTGATGCAGGGTCACAAGTCAAGGAATTTGGGCAGTCTCTAGAGACTAGAAAAGGCAAAGAAATGGATTCCCCTCTGGAGCCTGCAAAAGAAACACAGCCCTGCTAATAACACCATGATTTTAGCCTACGAAGACTGATTTTGGACTACTGACCTTCAGAACTATAAGAAAATAAAGTTGTGTTGTCTAAAGCCACCAAGCTTGTGGTAATTTGTTACAGCAGCAATAGGAAACTGATACAGATCCCTACCTCACACCATACACAAAAATAAATTTCTGATGATTTAAGATCTAAATTTGAAAAGCAAAACTCTAAAACATTTAGATGGAAATCAAAGAGAATAGTTTTGTAATCTCAGAGGAAGAGGAAGTATCCTTAAGATTAAAAAAGTGCAAATTGTAGAGGAAAAGACTGGTAAATCTGAACATAAACTATCAAGTTACAATTATGATAGAGACGCAGTATTATAAGAGTGTATACCTGGCACATATGATTATATAGAGGTTAGGAAAGACCTTTTTGAGGAGGTGATGTTTGAGCTGAGATGTGAAAGGTGTGGAAGATGGAACGAGAGATGGTTTGTAGAAGTTCCCAGCATAAGGGGTGGAAGCAAGCAGGCAAATGGAAATTAGCAGGCTGCTGGACTGCAGGCTACTCAGCAGGGCCTTGGGGGAGGGGTAGGGGAGGGTAAGGATTCGAGTCTCTCCTCCAAACCCAGCAGTACAGCTTGTATCCATGTTTACATACAGAGCTGTCCTGGAAGATTTCTTCCAAAGCAACTACACCACCATCCAAGTTTCAAATGCACAAAGTCATGTGAGAGGTGTTGATCTGGTCCAGCCTTACCTTGTACAGATGGGGAAACTGAGGCCAGGAGAGATGGGATTTGCCTGCAACCAAACAGTGGGGCAGTGCTGAGTCAGGGTGGATCCTGGGTCTCTGGATACCCTGAAGCCCTGTGTTCCTTGCACATGTCAAACCTGCTCCTGCCTGAGGGCCTCCGCACTTGCTTCTCCTCTGCCTGGAATGGTTGCCCCAGTGCCCCCTTACTTCTCCCAGGTCCCTGCAGAGGGGTAAGCCCCGTGAGAGGCCTTCCCCGATGACCCCATCTGAACTACCCCCACCCTGCTCCATCACTCCACTCGCCATGTACCTCTGCCCTGCTCTATCTGCTCTCACGGCATTTATCACTGCCCAGCACTGCAAGACACACTCAGCGTCTCTCTCCTACAGCAGATGTCAGCCCCCTCAGAACGGGGACTCATGTCTCCTCTTTCACACTGCAGCCCCAGTGTCTCACACAGGGTGGGTGCCTCTCAAAGATGTCCACACCCTAATCCCTGGAACTTATGAATATGTTATGTGGCAAAGGAAAATTAAGGTAGCATCAAGAATAAAGGTTGCTAATTGGGTGACCTTAAAACAGAGAGGTGGTCCCAGATTATCCAGGTGGGCTCAGTGTGATCGCCAGGATCTTTAACCGTGGAAGAAGGAGACAGAAGAGTCAGTGTCAGGGTGATACAGTGTCAGGAAGACCCCACTGGCCACTGCTGGCGTTGAATGTGGAAGGGGAATGGAGCGCAGATTGCGGAAAACACAAGAAAGCAGATTCTCCCCTCGAGCCTCCAGAAGGAACGCCGCCCCGCTGACACCTTGCTTTTTAGCCCAGGGAGACCCATTTCAGACTTCCGACCTCCAGACCTGGAAGATTATAAACTCCTGTTGTTTTAAGACACTAAGTTTGGGGTAAGCTGTAACCCAGCTCTGACTCTGCCCTCTGCCCTGCTGAAACCCCTTCCTGACCTCCCCACTCCCAGGATAACGTCCAAGCTTCTCGACCTGGCGTCCACAGCCCTTCACGACAGCCCTGTCCTTTTTCTTCTGTGGTGATGGAAATGTTCCCTGTCTGTGCTGTCTAGTACAGCAGCCACTGAGCACTTGAAATGTGGCCAGTGTGGCTGAGGAAGTGAATTCTTCCTTTCATTTCATTGTAGTTAGATTTAAATAGCCGCCCGTGTCCTGTGGCTGCCGCAGTGGACAGCACGGCTGCAAGGACTATGCCGACCTTTGCAGCCACATGGGCTCTACAGCCTCTTCATCACGAGTGGCAGTGCTCTCTCAACTGCCCCGAGGCACTAGGTTGGCTCCCACTTCGGGGACTTTGACCACGCCATGGCCCTGCCTCGAATGCCATCCCACTTCTGCCCTGATTCTCCAACACCCAGCTCAGTTCCCACCTGAAATGTGGTGGAGCCTTGAAGGGCGTGGGTTGATTCAAATGCCCCTTCCCGCCATTCTACCTCCCAAATAAGGTGATGTAAAACCACGCTGGCAATGGTTATACGGCTCCTTCTGAAAGCCCCAGAGAAAGGGAGCTATCCCTGGCCCAGGGGGGCTGAGACTTCAAGAAAGGCACACTGCCTGAGCATCCGGGCCTCCAGCCCAGGACCCACGGGGACAGCCAAGCACAGGAATGGGCTGAGGGGCAGAACCAGCTGAGAGGGGCGCTGAGTGTCAGATTCCCCATTCCCTGCCACCTGCCACCAGAGGGGTGAGGAGTCAGGGAGAGGGGACAAAGAGCTCCTTCCCTACCAGACCCCTCAGAGAGAGCCCCTCATTCTCTCCAGGACCCAGGACAGGAGTCTTACGGCAGCCAGAGACCTGGCGCTCAGAGGGGAAGCAAAAACCAAACCTAAGACAGAAAACTGTGAGCCTTCTGGAGGTTCTGGGAGATTCCTGAGGGAGAGGGACAGCTGCTCCAAACCAAGTCACCTTTATTAAACTCATCTTGTGTGTGCGAACATGCGTGCGCGTGTGTGTGCGTGTGCGTGCACGCACATACACGCAAGCACATATTTCAGGCCTGGGGCACCACCCCGTAGAGCTGGTGGGGAAGTAACTTCTGCTTCTCGTTGCAACTGTAGATCCATCGGGGGCGGACGAACACCAAGGAGGGGTTGTCCATCAAGGCCTGCAGGGTTGGGTGGGGTGCATACAGGAACATGTGAGTGAGGAGGGGATGGAGGGGATGCAAGGGCGGGTTGGGTCTCCCTTTCCTTGCCCCTCTGGGACTCACCTCCTCAAA